TAAGCAGTCCAGTTTTCCAGTTAGACACAGAAGTTCAAATTCTGACCCTCCTTTCTCAGCAATAAGACTATATACAGTGGCAAAAATTTGGGCAGAACAAAAAGGACCAAAAATAAAAATTTTTTCAAAAGGAAATTCTACACAAGAGCCCTAAGAGGAACAGAGAGGTTCCTCTCCTACTTAGCCCATTCCCCTCCCAGGAAGGGAAAGAACAAATGAGGAAAGAAGTGAGGTTTTGAAGCTGTTCATTGGTCTCTTATCTGTTGACCCCTTACTGACCATTTCTTGTTACCGACAAATCCCTTTCCCTTTAACTTTACAATCTGCCATCTTAAGTTCAGGATCCTTCACTTAACATCTAAAGCTCTCCACAGCATGGCCCTAACCTTTCTCTCCAGTCACATGTTTATTTCTGAGGCATAGAGCTTAGTGGTAAAGTGATGGATGTTAACTAAACTTATTCTGGTAATCATGTTGCAGTATACACATATATTGAATCACCATGTTGTACACCTTAAATCAATACAATGTTATATACCAATTATATCTCAATAAAACTTGAAAAAGGAAGGAAGGAAGGAAAGGAGGGAGGGAGGGAGGAAAGGAAAAAAGAACTTAGGCTTTGGAGCCCAACAGACCTGGTCTGAATTCCTGTTCTGCCATCTCTTAGCTGGTGACCAAGTTACTTAATTGCTGTGAGCCTAAGTCTCCTGATTTGTACAGTAGGGATGATACTGTCTGTAACTAATGTGATTGCCGTGAGTGGCAATTAAACAAGAGAATGCATGCAAAGCACTTAACGTTACGCATGGCACAAACTAATGACTCAATACATGGAGACTACTACAAGTCCTAAATGGATCCTGTGATTCTCACCTTGTTACTTTTACTCAAGGTGTTCTTGCCTCCTGGAATGCCTCCGCCTGTAGAAATTCTATCTGTTCTTTAAGGCCAGTCCCCAAAGCCACCTTCTCAGGAAGTCTTTCCTTTTGTTCCACTAGGACATATTCTATCCCTGCTCTGAATGTCCAGTTCATTTGCACTCCTCCGCTGGCACCTCCTTCACACTGAGCCTGAACTGAGCAGGTGCTCCGTGACTATTTACTGAATTAAATCCACGTAATGCCCAAATGTTACATGATTTTCTAGAATTTTTAGTAAAAATTCCAAGTATCTGAGCAATAACTCGATTAATTCCAGGTGCCAAGTTTCTGCTAACAACCTCAACTCAACATGACCGATAACTGAATCAGGGGTAAGAAAGCACAGAGCAGAGGATGGTGGGGAGGAACTCTGTTGACATTTGCTGCCTATGACAATGTGGGCCTCCAAGATGTGCATGTGTCATATATGTGTTTTGGGGGCCTGCTACTGTCATTTTCTGTCTGTCCAGATCCCTTTCTTTGGTGTTTGTTAACCATGGAGAGCTTGAAAAACAGTTCACAAGCAAACATATGCAAATGCTTTTTAGGTAGATGGGAAAGATGACATTTGCCTATTGGAAGGAATAAAGGAATAACTCTGATGCCCCCTCAGCCCTGGTAGTCACAGATGAGCAAAAAGAACTGCCTCCCTGAAGAGGGAGGAAGAGAGATCTCCACCAGCTCTGTGGAGATGCACTGACAGATTCCAGACCAAACAAAGCTTTGTGGGTTATTTTCCCTTCTTACTCCTGACTTGGGAATGTTTACTGGCATGCGAGTATATCACTCTCCATCGTTAATGACTCAGAGGGAGTTTGAGGGCCACGGAAAACCAAGTAAGTGGTCAATTCAAGTGGAGTTAAAGTAAGCAGGTTGCCTTTAATATTATGTTAGTGAAATTAATAATGCTCAATTATCTTTGAGTCTTTCACAGTCAGACTTAACACGGGAAACATGGTCCACAGCAGTGCAATATATTGACACACATTAGGATGTCACAAAAATGAATAGAAACAACCCTAGCTTCAGGTTCCAGCCTCAAAATTCTCTCCCTCCCTCTCTCCTCCCTTCCTTCCTGGCACAGACATTTAATGAATACCTACCACATACAGAGCCCTGTGACAAGTACTACTGGAAATACAGAAATGAATAATGTTGTGTCCTCAGTAATTTGCAAGTTTAACAGGGAAGAAAAGACTGTAACAAAAGCAGAAATGAGCCACTTGAGGATCCTACAAAATAGCCCACAAACCTCAGACACTGGCTCCCTCCAAATAAACTCAATCCTGGAGATGTGACCAAAGTAAGAGGAGTGTTGATAGATCTGAGAAATTAAAGGGAACTTTGTGAGAGGGTTCTGGGGAAGTCTGCCCATTTATATTTATTATAGGTACTGTCTTATTGGACTTATTTCAAAGAGAGTCTTTGTGGGGTAAACTTTCTGAGGCCCTGAATGCCTGACAATATTTCATTCTTACATTTAAATAATATTTAGCTGGGTATAAAATTCTAGGTTCCAAGTTCTTTCCCCTCAACACTGAAAATTAACACTCCCCTGTCTTCTTGTATTTTGAGTACTGAGACATCAGTATGATTTTGTTCCTTTGTAGATGATCTGCTTTTTCTTGCTAGGAAGTCTTCTCTTTGTCTTTTTTTTTTTTAAATAAATTTACTTATTTATTTATTTTTGGCTGTGTTGGGTCTTTGTTGCTATGTGCAGGCTTTCTCTAGTTGCGGTGTGCGGGCTTATTGCGGTGGCTTCTCTTGTTGCGGAGCACGGGCTCTAGGCACACAGGCTTCAGTAGTTGTGGTACGTGGGCTCAGTAGTTGTGGCTCATGGGCTCTAGAGCGCAGGCTCAGTAGTTGTGGCGCTCGGGCTTAGTTGCTCTGCAGCATGTGGGATCTTCCTAGACCAGGGATTGAACCCATGTCCCCTGCACTGGCAGGCGGATTCTCAACCACTGCACCACCAGGGAAGTCCCTTCTCTCTGTCTTTGATATTTAAAAAAATGTACTAGAATGTATCTAGATATAGGTTTACCTTATATAACCTGTTTAGCAAACTCTGAATCTTTTCAAACTGAAGTCATCCATATTCCACTAAGACTGGGGAATTCTTGGTCTTTATTTCTTCAAATGCTTAACTCCTCTCCAGTTCTTTTTTCTCTCATTCTTGGGTTCTTATTAAACTGACATGACACTTCTCTTTCCATCTTCTACATCTTCCATGTTTCTGAAGGATTTTTTTCATATTTTTCAATTATTATTTTAGCTCATTAATGTCTTCTTCATTTGTACCCATCTTGTTATTAACCTCCCCCCACCATCAAGTTCTTTATTTCAACTCATATTTTTCATAGCTGATATTTCTAGATGATTCTTCTTTGTAACTGTTTATTTTTGCTTCATGTTACCAATACGCTCCCTTAGCTCTTCAATGATATACTAGTTTGTTTTCAATTATTGTTTTGACTAGTTTATTAAGTTTGCTTTGTCTGGTAAAGTCTGTTAAGTTTGTTGTCTTTCTTTTGGAATAGTTGCACTCATAAGTTATGTTATTTAAGAGGATCAATGCTCAGTAACTCCTAAGGTTACCACAGCAGTTTTCTTTTTTGATTGGGCAGACCACCTTTGTTATAAATTTCAATCAGATTTCTCAGATTAATGTTAGTGACTCCACTCTCATTCTGTTAGGTTTAGGTTATACATTCATCCTTCCAGGGGTTTATTCACCCATCCAAAGAAACAAACTTTTCCACGTCATGCTTAATACATTAAGGTTTCTGAGAAAATTCAGTAGAGGCAGAATTCACCTGAGGGGCTCTGCTTTTCACCTATGATAACCACTGACAGAAGTTTGGACTCTCTTTGGGCATGGCTGCACTAAATTAAAAAAATGGGGTGAAAATAGCACTTTCCTGGGAATTAGTAGACCTAAGCTCCAACCACAATTCTGTCACACAATAGCTGTGTGATCTTGGACACATCACCTAACTCTCTAGGCTTCAATTTCTTCATTTGTAGAATTAGGGTTGAACTGCATCATCTCTAAGGTCCCTTCAAGCTGTACAAGTCTATCATTCAGTCTCATACGGATATACCATTCCAAAGAAACATCAGTATTTTATGTAGAGGAATCTACTGCTTTAGAAAAAAAAATACATAAATTTACTTTTGTAAAAAGACAACCAAAAAACAGTTCTTTTTATTCCAAACTATTGACCCAACTCTTCACACCCACCTTGTGCCCTTAAATCTGTGTTTGGAAATGTTTGAATCATGTAAATATGAGAATTAGAAACACTATAATAATCAGTTGTGAAGCTATTTAAAAGATTTTTTTTTTACTTTTTATACAATTTTACAGGTTACTTTCCATTTACAGTTATTACAAAATATTGGCTATATTCCCCGTGGTGTACAATACATCCTTGAGCCCATCTTACACCTAATAGTTTGTACCTCTCACTCCCCCATCCATTGCCTGTCTCCCCTCCCCACTGGTAACTACTAGTTTGCTCTCTATATCTGTGACTCTGCTTCATTTTTGTTATATTCGCTAGTTTGTTGTATTTTTTAGATTCCACATATAAGAGATACCATACAGTATTTGTCTTTCTCTAACTTATTTCACTTACCATAATACCCTCCAAGTCCATCCATGTTGTTGCAAATGGCAAAATTCCACTCTTTTTACGGCTGAGTAATATTCCATTGTATATATGTGCCACATCTTCTTTATTCATTCATCTGTTGATGGACACTTAGGTTGCTTCCATGTCCTGGCTATTGTAAATAATACTACTATATGCAGATGGCCAACAGGCACATAAAAAGATGCTCAACATCGTTAATCATCAGGGAAATGCAAATCAAAACCATGATGAGATACCACCTCACACCTGTCAGGATGGCTATTATCAAAAAGAACACAAATAACAAATGTTGGTGAGGATATGGAGAAAAGGGAACCCTTGTACACTGTTGGTGGGACTGTAAATTGGTGCAGCCACTGTGGAAAACAGTATGGAAGTTTCTCCAAAAAACTAAAAATAGAGTTACCATATGACTCAGCAATTCCACTCCTGGGTATTTATTCGAACAAAACAAAAACACTAATTTGAAAAGATACATGCACACCAATAAATTTACTTTTATGTGTAAACCATGCAACTTCCTATAGAATAATTGAGAAAAGAGGAAAGTATATGCAAAGAGTCCAATTTGCAAGTTACTCTGCAATAAAGCTCAGTTTCTAACCATTTCCTTTATTAATCTTACTCCTAGCTATAGACTACCTCAGGGCATTTTCACAGCTTTCACCAATCTGTTCCCATTTAGTTTTAGCTGCTAAATCTATAGACTCCAAGTGCTAAATACTAGATTAATAGGTCCTTACTAAGAGTTCCAATAGCTCAGCTAGCTCTTGTGCTCCCAGCTTAATCTCTCTTGTCTTCCCCGGTAATCAGCCTTTGCATAGTTCCCAAGTCTCAGCCCCTTTCTCCAGTTCCCATTATTTTTCTCTCCTTGAATCAGAGTTTGTGAGCTGCTTTTTATGCTAGAGGCACATGATGTCATTGTGTCTACCCCCAGCTGTTCTTAATTTTCTCTCAGCTCAGCTCTCTTGGAGGACTCTCAGCAGGCCCAAAGACACAAGCCTCCCTTCTAGGGTGCAGATGAAAAGCTGGGGTGGAGGCGGGGAAAGGGCAATTCACCAACCCATAATGACTAATCCTAGCAAAATAAAGGGCAAGTCCCTTTTAAGAAACAGAGCACTCCAGGAGAGGGCGGAGCCAACTGAATAAGCCCCAGACTCCGATGAGACAAGTGTGCTCCCGGAAGCTGTCATAGCAACAGGAGTTCGCTATCCAAGATGTCGACCATCTCTCTACCTTAGGCAGTTCTCTAAGACCTGAGAATCACGCTCTGAGTGCTGTCTTGAATTACCTGGCTCTAACTACCCACAGTGCCAGCCTCCTGCCTCCCACCAAGGACTGGCCTTCTCTGTTTAGAGAGTTAAAATGGATTGTGGCGAACTCTAGACAAATTTAGCTCTCTCCTCCACAGATGCCCAGTGTTTTGTGGTGTTGTAGAAAATGCCCTGATATACCAATTCACATGACTCATAATTCTTATTGAATTTATGTTCCAGTATCCATAAGCGCTGCTTGAAAAATGATGATGTAATGATGCTTTACACAAAGGAATGAATCTCTCAGGTGGAAATTCTTACTATACAATGGCACCTGGCTAGAGCAGATGGGATAGTACCCATACTAGTAACTTTGAAATGAGTTTCCCACTGGGATAGTGGTAGAAATATTTTTCCCTCATTCTATTTAGACCAGCAGCCAGTTGAGAACAAATCCCTCCAGAGCAGGGCAATTTTGATGGAGGAGAGTAGGAGAACACAGTGGAAACCCATGAGGCAGGACCTAATGGATGAGATAGCAGCAGTTCTCAGCCCTGACTACACATTAGAATCTCTGGGGGGGAGGGGGGGTGTTAGCTTTTAAGTTGATCTTGAAATAATTTTAAAATTACAGAAAAGTTGTAAAAACAGCACAGACATTTCGTTTAGCATTTCTCACATCAAAATTTTACATAACATAGTGCAGTTATCAAAACTAAGAAATTAACCTAGGTACAATACTATTAACTAAACTATAGATTTTATTTGGATTTCACTAATTTTTCCAGTAATGTCCACTTTCTGTTCCAGGATCAAATTCAGGACACCATGTTGCATTTAGTTGTCATATCTCTTTAGTGTCCTCCAATGTATGACAGTTTATCAGTCCTTCCACATCTTTCATGATCTTGAAGAGCACTGAGCAGTTATTTTGTATAATGTGCCTCACAGATCTTTCCACTAATGTCCTTTTTCTGTTCCAGGATTGAATCCAGAATATTATGCTGCATTTAGTCATCCTATCTTCCTAGTTGCCTCCAATTTATGGCAATTTCTCAATGTTTCCTTGTGTTTCACGACCTTCACAATTTTAAAGATCGTCACGTACTTTGTAGAATGTCCCCCAGTTTGGGTTTGTCTGATGTTTTCTCATGATTAAATTGGGATTATGTATCTTGGGAAAGGATAGCACAGAAGTGAAGTACCTTTCTCATCACATAGTATCAGGAAGTACATGGTATCAATATGACATACTGGTGATGTCAGCCTTGATGACTTGGTTAAGGAGATTTCTTCCAGTTTTCTCCACTGTAAAGCTACTATTTAAAAAAAATATTATGTTGATATAGTTGTAGATTCACATGAAGTTGAAAAGGTGATACAGAGAAGTTCTGTGTACCCTTTACCCGGTTTCCCTCAATGGTACATGTGTATATTCTTGTAAATACCACTACAATCAGAACAATTTCTACAATCAGAAACAGAACAATTCTATTACCACAAAGATCTTCCTCATGCTACCTCTTTATAGTCACAACCCTCCTCCCAACATACCTAACCCATGGACACCACAGATCTGTTCTCCAGTTTTTAAATTTTATCATTTTAGAGAATATTATATAAATGTAATCAATCAGTATGTGACCTTTTGAGACTGACTTTTTCTACTCAGCATAATGCCCATGATATCCATCCAAGTTGTTGTGTGTATCTGAAGTTTACTCTTTCTATTGCTGAGTAGTATTCCATGGAATGGATGTACCATAGTTTGTTCAACCACTCACATTTTGAGGGACATTTGGGTTATTTTCACCTTTTCATTATTGCACATAGCTCTGCTATGAACATTCATGTACAGGTTTTTGTATGAATAGAAGTTTTCATTTCTCTGGGATACATGACCAGGAGTGCGACTGCTGAGTTGTATGGTAAGTTTATGCTTAGTCTTTTAAGAAACCACTAAACTATTTCCCAGAGTGGCTGTATTATTTTTACTTTCCCACCAGCAGTGTATAAGAGATCTAGTTTCTTCATATCCTCACCAGCATTTGGTATTATCGCTATTTTAATTTTAGCTGTTTGAATAGACATATAGTGATATCAAATAATGGTATTAATTTGCATTTCTGTAATGGCTAGTGATGTTAAACATCTTTTCAAGTGTCTATCTGTCATCTACATATCTTCTTCAGTTAAATGCCCATTGCCATTTTTTGCTTATTTTCTAATTGGATTATTCTTTATTCTGTTTAGTTTTGAGAGTTCTTTATTCTTTGTCGAATATGTGGCTTACTGATATTCTGTCCCAGTCTATAGCTCGTATTTTCATCCTCTTTAAGAGGGTCTTTCACAGAGCAGAAGTGTTTAACTTTGGTGAGTTCCAATTTACCTTTTTTTTTCTTTATAATGGATCATGCTTTTGGTGTCAAGTCTAAGAACTCTTTGCCTGGCCCTAGATCCAAAAGATTTTCTCCTATGTCTGTTTTCTGAAAGATTTATAGTTTACATTTTGCAAACTTACATGGTCCATTTTTGGATAGTGTCTGCATAAGGTGTGAAGTTTAGGTTAAGTTTCTTTTTTTTTGCCTATGGATGTTCAGTTGCTCCCATACCATTTATTAAAAAGGCTATCCTTCCTCCATTGACTTGTTTTTGCAACTTTGTCAAAAATCAGTTGAACATATTTGTGTGGGTGTACTTCTGGGTTCTCTTTTCTGTTCCACTGATGTGTGTGTTTATCCCTCTGCGAAACCCCACTGTCTTGATTAATGTAACCATATAATGTCTTGAAACCAGGTAGACTGATTCCTTCTACTTCCTTCTTCTTTTTCAAAATTGTTTAGCTATTCTAGGACCTGTGCCTTTTCATATACATTTTGAAATAGTCTTCTGAAAAGAACTTGGAAGTGATCACTCCCATCCTTTCAAGAAAACTGGGCAAACCAAAAAAAATCAATGACTTTTCTTGGACCCATTAGAGAACCGAGGTTGCAGGGCAAACCACCACCCCAAAATCTAAAGATTTAGGAAGATCCAGAGAGATACAGCTGTAATTTACTTACCTGGAAAAGAAGGCTCTGGAATATAAACTGGTAGGAACACCAAAACTGGTAATTTTGACAAATTGCTGGAGGAAGAATGTGGACTACTGTAAGAGTGAGAAACTTCTGAGGACTGAAGGCACAGGGGCACCCCCCAAATTTCAGGAAATCCACCAAATTCTCACAATAAAGATGTGAATAAGATCCTCTTGTGAATCTGGCGGGGGAGGGAAAGAAAAATCATTGTGAAGTATGCCTAGAGCCTTCTCCATAACTCTACAAGGAAAAAGACTTTGCCACACCTTATCCTAACTGGGGAATGGCATTCCTCCCGCTCCAGCCTCCCTCTAGCCAACTTTAGAAAACCACATACAAAGACAACATCTTTAAGGAAGACAGAGTAGGGGGAACACCTTACAAGGGAACAAGCATAAGAATTATATCAGACTTCTTGTCAGAAACCATGCAAACAAGAAGAGACTGGAATGAAATATTTAAAGTTTTGAAAGAATAAAAACACCAATCCAAATTCTATATCTGGCAAAATTATCCTATAGAAATGAAACGAAGTCTTTCTCAGAAAAAAAACAAAAATGGAGGGAAATAAAAGAAGACTTGTCCTGCACAAAATGTTAAAAGAAGTTCTTCAAGGGGAAGGAAAATGATGATAGAGGTCAGAAACTTGGATCTTCATAAAGGAAGAGTGTCAGAGAAGGAATAAATGAAGGTATGGTAAAATCTTTTATTTTTCTGATTCTTAATTGGTTTAAAGATAACTGTTTAAAGTAAAAATAGTAACAATATACTGATTGATTATAGCATATGAATAAGTGAAGTAAATTACAACAATGTCACAAGAGATGGAAAGGAAGATTTAATAATACTCTGTTATAAGGTACCTGCACTACATTTAAAGTGTTATTTGATAGGGATTGCATTGAATCTGTAGATTGCTTTGGGTAGTAGAGTCATTTTCGCAATGTTGATTCTTCCAATCCAAGAACATGGTATCTCTCTCCATCTATTTGTATCATCTTTAATTTCTTTCATCAGTGTCTTATAATTTTCTGCATACAGGTCTTTTGTCTCCTTAGGTAGGTTTATTCCTAGATATTTTATTCTTTTTGTTGCAATGGTAAATGGGAGTGTTTTCTTGATTTCACTTTCAGATTTTTCCTCATTAGTGTATAGGAATGCCAGAGATTTCTGTGCATTAATTTTGTATCCTGCTACTTTACCAAATTCACTGATTAGCTCTAGTAGTTTTCTGGTAGCATCTTTAAGATTCTCTATGTATAGTATCGTGTCATCTGCAAACAGTGACAGCTTTACTTCTTTTCCGATTTGGATTCCTTTTATTTCCTTTTCTTCTCTGATTGCTGTGGCTAAAACTTCCAAAACTATGTTGAATAAGAGTGGCGAGAGTGGGCAACCTTGTCTTGTTCCTGATCTTAGTGGAAATGCTTTCAGTTTTTCACCGTTGAGGACAATGTTGGCTGTGGGTTTGTCATATATGGCCTTTATTATGTTGAGAAAAGTTCCCTCTAGGCCTACTTTCTGCAGGGTTTTTATCATAAATGGGTGTTGAATTTTGTTGAAAGTTTTCTCTGCATCTATTGAGATGATCATATGGTTTTTCTCATTCAGTTTGTTAATATGGTGTATCACATTGATTGATTTGCATATTTTGAAGAATCTTTGCATTCCTGGAATAAACCCCACTTGATCATGGTGTATGATCCTTTTAATGTGCTGTTGGATTCTGTTTGCTAGTATTTTGTTGAGGATTTTTGCATCTATGTTCATCAGTGATATTGGCCTATAGTTTTCTTTCTTTGTGACATCCTTGTCTGGTTTTGGTATCAAGGTGATGGTGGCCTCGTAGAATGAGTTTGGGAGTGTCCCCCCCGCTGCTATATTTTGGAAGAGTTTGAGAAGGATAGGTGTTAGCTCTTCTCTAAATCTTTGATAGAATTTGCCTGCGAAGCCATCTGGTCCTGGGCTTTTGTTTGTTGGAAGATTTTTAATCACAGTCTCAATTTCAGTGCTTGTGATTGGTCTGTTCATATTTTCTATTTCTTCCTGATTCAGTCTTGGCAGGTTGTGCATTTCTAAAAATTTGTCCATTTCTTCCAGGTTGTCCATTTTATTGGCATAGTGTTGCTTGTAGTAATCTCTCATAATCTTTTGTACTTCTGCAGTGTCAGTTGTTACTTCTCCTTTTTCATTTCTAATTCTATTGATTTGAGTCTTCTCCCTTTTTTTCTTGATGAGTCTGGCTAATGGTTTATTAGTTTTGTTTATCTTCTCAAAGAACCAGCTTTTAGTTTTATTGATCTTTGCTGTTATTTTCTTTGTTTCTATTTCATTTATTTCTGATCTGATTTTTATGATTTCTTTCCTTCTGCTACCTTTGGGGTTTTTTGTTCTTCTTTCTCTAATTGCTTTAGGTGCAAGGTTAGGTTGTTTATTCGAGATGTTTCCTGTTTCTTAAGGTAGGATTGTATTGCTATAACCTTCCCTCTTAGAACTGCTTTTGCTGCATCCCATAGGTTTTGGGTCGTCGTGTCTCCATTGTCATTTGTTTCTAGGTATTTTTTGATTTCCTCTTTGATTTCTTCAGTGATCACTTCGTTATTAAGTAGTGTATTGTTTAGCCTCCATGTGTTTGTATTTTTTACAGATCTTTTCCTGTAATTGATATCTAGTCTCATAGCATTGTGGTCGGAAAAGATACTTGATAAAATTTCAATTTTCTTAAATTTACCAAGGCTTGATTTGTGACCCAAGATATGATCTATCCTGGAGAATGTTCCATGAGCACTTGAGATAAATGTGTATTCTGTTGTTTTTGGATGGAATGTCCTATAAATATCAATTAAGTTCCTCTTGTTTAGTGTATCATTTAAAGGTTGTGTTTCCTTATTTATTTTCATTTTGGATGATCTGTCCCTTGGTGAAAGTGGGGTGTTAAAGTCCCCTACTATGAATGTGTTACTGTCGATTTCCCCTTTTACATCTGTTAGTATTTGCCTTATGTATTGAGGTGCTCCTATGTTGGGTGCATAAATATTTACAATTGCTATATCTTCTTCTTGGATCGATCCCTTGATCATTATGTAGTGTCCTTCTTTGTCTCTTCTAATAGTCTTTATTTTAAAGTCTATTTTGTCTGATATGAGAATTGCTACTCCAGCTTTCTTTTGGTTTCCATTTGCATGGATGGGGAGGGGGAAGGGTAAGCTGGGACAAAGCGAGAGAGTGGCATGGACATATATACACTACCAAATGTAAAATAGATAGCTAGTGGGAAGCAGCCGCATAGCACAGAGAGATCAGCTCGGTGCTTTGTGACCACCTAGAGGGGTGGGATAGGGAGGGTGGGAGGGAGGGAGATGCAAGAGTGAAGAGATATGGGAACATATGTATATGTATAACTGATTCACTTTGTTATAAAGCAGAAACTAACACACCATTGTAAAGCAATTATACTCCAATAAAGATGTAAAATAAAATAAAATAAAGTGTTATTTGAAGATGAACTCAGTTAAAAATGTATATTGCAAACTCTAGCGCGACCACTAAAAAGTTTTAAAGTATAATTGATATTCTAAGAGAGGAGATGAAATGGAATCACAGAAAATCTCAGTTAAAACCAGAGAAGGCGGGAAAAAGAGCAAGGGAGTAATTTTCTTTGCTCTGAAGTCTACTTTATCTGATAGTAATATAGCCATTCCCACTTTCCTTTGAATAATATTTGCATAGCATATCTTTTTCTGCTTTCACTTTCAACTTACTTATATATTAACTAGAAAATATAAATAGTAAATAGTAAAACTACTATCTGTCCCTTTCCATACTTTATTAGAACTGAATTACTAGGTCCAGCCCACACTCAATGGAAGGGAATTAATCTCCACCACCTGTAGGGAGGAGTATCAAAGAGTTTGTGGACACATGTTGAAACCACCAGAGCAATTATTAAATATTTTGGGGGTGACAATTTGAAGCTATGCAAATATCTTGCCCTCTAAAATTATTACTAGGCCTAGTTCTTTTTTTTGAGAATGGTATTTAGAAAACAAGATGTGGTTCTAGGTAAGCTCAATTCTATTTGAATGTTGCTGCTTTTAGGCCCTGCCAGTAGAGAGAGCGAGGGAACACAGGCATGTAAAATAATCCATGTATACACACATATAAATATTAATGCCTGAATCTACTTACCTTTACATGTATATATTTATATATGGATATAGATAAGCTTACATTTTTATATGGATATCTCTGATTCTAATCCAGTACCACGGAGTTTATTCCAGCCTTCCCTCCATGTTTTAAATATACACCCAGGCAAGATCAAATACATCATTTGTGGGGCCCAGTGAAAAATGCAAACGTGGGGCTCCTTGTTCAAAAAGCGGGGTAAAAGTGTCACTAAGGTACTACAATGTACAGATTTTTCCTTTCTTCTGCAGCCTTTCATTCAACTTGTCATGATATTTTCTATTTGCTACTCAATATTATTCTAAGTCAAGAAAAAGTAAAAATCTCAATTATTAACATGTATCTTACCGTTCATCTTTACATTGTACAATACCAGTTTTAAATAAAAATACCAGAGCATTTAATTCATATGCAGAATCACCAAAATTGCACAATTTGTACTGCATGCCCCAGCCCTGGAAGGTGACTTGAGCTGGCCAGAAGAGATGAACACAAAGCCAGACTCAAGAAAGTTAGTTATAATGGAGGAAGAGAGGGTCACCTACATGTGGAGTAGGCCCAAAGGACACTCTCTAGGGCATGGGAAGGCACTCATGAGGCAAGTGTAGACCCTTACTGGCACCTGAGAACCCTACCCCATGACTTGTGTCACATGTGTGTGCTCGGGCCTGACAACTGTTTGGTTTCATCCTTCTTCTAGCTGCTGGCCTGACATGCTGTGCCTTATCAGAGGGCAGGGAAGTTGACCCAGGCATCTCCCTTCCTGAGGCAGATGCCTGCCACCCCATCCGACAGCATATAGGCACCTCTCAAGGGTATTACCACCTCCTCACAAGGATGCACTAGGTATCTGGATCAGGGATGGGCAAGAGATTCACCCCCACTGAATGTGCGTGGTGCTGTGAACCAAGTGCAAGGATGGTCACTGCCATGCTCCACCTTGAGGGGCTGCAGGGTGCATGCACCTGACTTGACCCTCCCCACATCGAGGCT